CGCGGCGGCCGCCCCCGGCCATGCCGAGAGCGCCCCGGCAGCCGAGCCGGAGCACAGCCCAGCGCCCGTCCTCCTTCTCCCTCTCCCTCTCCCTCTCCCTTTCCCCTCCTGCCCTTTTGCTGTCCCGCCCCGTTCGGCCTGGTCCCTGTCCCGTCCCCCCGCCGTGCCTGCCCCGTGTCTGTCCCTGTCCGTCTCCTCCCCTGTCTCTGTCTCTCTGTCGCTGCGCTTTTCAGCCCTTGTCCTCTCTTCTCCCTCCCCCCACCTGTCTCTATCTCCCTCCCCAGTCCTGTTCTTGCCCGGTCCTCTCCCTCCCCCGGCTCTGTCCGTGCCCGGTCGCTCCCACTGCCCTTGTCCCCGCCGGTGTCTCTGCCCCGGCCCCGGCCCCGGCCCCGGCCCCGGCCGCCGCCCCTCCCGGCCCGTCAGCCCCGGAGCTGTCCCTTCAGCACCACCCGGAGCTGTCCCTTCAGCACCATCCGCAGCGCCGACGGGTCCCTCCGCCTCCCCCCGAGCACCCCCCGGGGCCCCGGGGAGGAGAAGGGTGTGCTTAGGGCTCCGAGGTCCTGACAAGTCCCACGGGGAGAGCAGGCGGTGGGAAGGGACGTCCTGCCCTCTCCAGCCCGCAGAGCATCCTTCCTTCCCACTACGTGGGTGAGGGGGGCAAGGTGGGGCTTCAGCGTGTCTCCCTGTCGCCCCAAAGCTGCCCCTGTTGGAACCAGCATCTGAGGCAAGGGGAAACCTGGGGGAGAGTCCCTGCAGGTTCAAAGCCTCCCTGGGTTTGCAGGGCTCCTTTGCACAACAGCAGGTAGCTAGGAAAGGCTTTGAGCTAGGCAGGTGGTGCCTGGGCAGTATGACATGCTGGCAGAAGCTTTGCAGACGTGTGTTTGCCCTCTGAGGGCTGCACACCCTCACCCCCCCACCCCCCCGCCCACCCACACAGTCCTTGTACTGTCTACACAGGCGCTGTGCACAGCCTCTCACTCTCCTACACACCTACATGCCGCACCCTCCCAGCTCTGAGGAAAAGCATCCCTCTCTCCCACCACCCATGACAGGAGAAGGGGAGAGAAGGCAGCTGCTGGGCTGCAGCTTTGCCCCTGGAGACAGTTAAACTCTGCGCTGGTCAAAAGTCAAAAAAAGACGGGTTTAACCTAATCTTAGGTCCTAGGCTTACTGGCCAGCCCTTCAGCACAGACTCTGCTTCTCCAAAAGAAACTCTCCCTTTGCCTGAAGGTTCAGAGCAAAATTAAAGTGTGCTTTGTGTCTCAGTTTCTAGGGAGAGAGGCCTGGAGGGGAGAGCGGCTGCATTTGTCTCCTGCACGTGCACTCGCATGGAGGGTGGTGACAGCAAGCGAGTGTGCAAGGGTTCTTTATCAGAAATAACTTTTTTCTCCCAGATAACTTTCATGATTCAACATTTCTGAGAAAAACAGTGGCAATAATAAAAAGCAAGTGCAAACCAAGCCTGTAGGCACTGGATCTGCAGTGACGAACAACTAAGAGACACCTTTGGCAGAACTGGAGGGAAAGCTGCTCAGAACCCATCTAGCTTTCACTCCCACCTCCCTCATTCTCCTGTCACGACTACTGAGAATAAAAATCCTCCAATATTCCCTCAACTCATCAATTTGAAGTAGACTGAGCCTTGCAGTAGAGATACGTGACCCAGCCTGGATTTTATCTTTAAATAATTAGACAGTGTTTTCTCCATGTTTTAACAGCTTACATCAAAATAATAATAATAAAAAAAATTACAGAGAAACCTTTTCATGTCATGAAAGACTCCTGACTGAAGGGACTGCATCTCATGAAAGACATTAATCCTGCCTGTGTAGGGAGCAGCACAAGCTGTAGCCAAAGGGGAAGAAAGGAAGGAAGGAAGGAAGGAAGGAATAGTAAAGGAAAGGGAAGGGGAAGAGGAAGGGAAGGGAAGGGAAGGAAAGGAAAGGAAAGGAAAGGAAAGGAAAGGAAAGGAAAGGAAAGGAAAGGAAAGGAAAGGAAAGGAAAGGAAAGAATGGTGAAGCAGATTATCCCCCCCCCCTTCTCATTAAAATGCTCCTGCAAATTGATGCTTATGATTTGTCACTGTCAAAATACTGGCTTCATATTTTAGAATACAGTAGAAAAAATTCCTCTTTCAGTGTTGCTGTGTTGATATGATGAGCTGCTGGCAGGATGGGGGAGAAGTTGTCTGGGGATGAATTTGCCTATGCACGTGCATGTGTATATAAGAGAGAGATGGATAAATAGGGAGATTAGCACAAGGAGTAAGTGAATAATGAGCAAGCATTAAAAAGAAACAATATTTACTGCAGAAATTGTATTTTCTCCTGCTGTAAAATCAACATTACAAGAGAACTTGAATGTGTGGCATTCAGAAATATTATGTCCCTTTTCCTTCTCTGGAGACATAGAGTTTCTCTGGACAGAGTCTGGTAGTGACCCAGGAGATGGAGTATTTCCCATCCTGCTTTTCAACCATAGGTAAATCACCCATGTGTCAAGGTTTTCCTGTCTTTTGAATAGGGTAGGGATTATGCTATGTGCCTTTCTCTGGAAGACCTTGACAGATGGGCATGAGGAACAACTGTAAGAGCAATTTATTGTTGTTATTACCTACTGTGCAGATGTTCTCCAGAAATTAGCACAGCATACCACAGCCAGTCCCTCTCTTTCACCCCAGCCTTGATTTTGCTGAATGTCACCACTCCACTCTCCCGTGCTGGCCAGTTGTGTAGAAGGGCTTTCTCTGGTATGGACCCTTTCCCAATATGTCCCTTTAGCAAGTGGGGTGGGAAGCCACTGGCATAATCTATACAGTTGTCAGCCAGCTGGTGTTTTCATCTCCTACTTCAATAACCTGGGCTACACTTGATGATGACTGGCAGATGACAGCTTGGCCCCCGGATCTCCTAGTTCCTTGTGTTCAGACATTTGAAGCAGAATTAAATACAGTTCCAGTCGATGCCATGCTCTGATACAGCCTGCTCAACATCTTTCAAGGTCTCACTTTAAATTGCATCCCAAATTATGTATAATTTCTTCCAGCTCAAAATGTGCATTGCCTCGGACAGCCCCATTAGCTTAGCATTCAAGACACAGTCTGATGGTGATTTTTCTCTGAAATGAGTGAGTTAATCTCTGCTATTTGCTGTGATAGTTTGGAAGAAATGAATGCTCTCTGTGGTAAACTTGGTGCTGCTTGCCTTAAGTTACCACTTAAATACAAGCCTTATGAAGTTTTTGTGGGTTTGTTTGTTTGTTTTTCTTTTTCCAGTTTTCAAAATTTGAATGTCCACAATGTCTGGAGAGGTTTCCTGTTTGGTTAGGTAAAGTTGAAAGGCCACAAAAAGTAGCAGGCAAGGCCTGATGTCTTCAATTTAGCAATGAAACAAATACAGCATGGATGGCAGCAGAGCTGTGTGCCTTTATGCTGACCAGATTCAAATCTGCCTAGGTGGAGACATGAACTCCAAGAGGAAAAAGGAGCTCAGTCCTTTCCTCATTCAGCTCTGGGTTATACTACTGAGGTTGTTGGGATGGACCTGATCTTCCTGAAACAGAAATCTAATGCTAAGCTCTTACTCATAGTGAGAAATGACCTTCAGAGGCCAACTCAGCCATCTTTCCCAGTTCCTCTGTATCCTTGCCCCAAGTATACCTATCCCTCGCAGACAAGAGTCTAATCACGTCCTGAAGATCTCTGGTGATGGAGATTCTCCACCACCCCCAGGCAATCCATTCAGTTCATTGTTATCCTTTCAGAGTATTTCCTCATGCCTAACTTGACACTCCCTTGCAGCAGTCTAAGGCCTTAGCCCTTATTCCATGCCCAGTGGATACAGAGAAAGATGAATCCTTTCCTCTCTGCAGTCTTTTACACACTTGAAAGTAGCTACCATGTATTCTCTAGAAGAAGCCACCCTATTCCTTCAATCTTTCCTCTTGGGTTGTGTTTTGGAAACCTCTGAAAGGAAGACTGAAGGACCTGGGGTATTGTTTCTGTTGTTCAAGTACCTGAGAGCTGAGGGGCACCCAGCACTGAGGTCAGACAGACTGACAGCGTAGTTTCATGTAGCCAGCTTTTAATCATTTTGATGTAGATTGCCGGTTGTGCTGTATCAGTTGTGCTGGGGGTTTCAGTGAGGAGGACACTTATTAACAA